TTAAGTGCAATGCACTAGGGTTCCTCTAGGGTTAGTTGAACCCATCCTTTTCACTTTCAGGTCGTGGATCCAGACTATTTCTAGTAAGAGTCCATAAGCTGAAAGCATCCACAGGTACCTTACTGGGACCATGTGCAGCATAATAATCTTATAATCATTTTCCTACCTTACTACAAGTATCTAAGTTTACAGTGCCTCCTTCAGGGAACCAGGGACAAACCATTTCAACAAATTCTAAAAAAATTACACAGCTGTTGCTGCCCAACTCGAGAACCATGGACACGCAGTAAATCTCTAAGCATATGTACAAAAAGCATGCAACTATTGCCGACTCCCATTTTTAATATTTACAAGAAAATTCAGTGCTCCTTACCTTTTCATTGAGGCCTCGTTCTTCTCCGTGGTGTCCTTCACTGGATCCCTTGATACTCGGGTCCCTGCTCGGGCGCCACTTGTGGCACCCCAGCCATCACAACATGAACCAGCCTGAGATGGGGAGAGAGGATTGAGAAAGGAAAGAACACTGAAACCGGAGTGGAGACCAAGAGATGTCTGATTTATTTCACAGAAACAGCTCCCTTTAAAGGCACATTAACAGGAAGCACCTGACTCCTACAGCGAACATCAGCTGTTTGGCTATCAACAGGGAGCACCTGACTCCTACAGCTAACATCATATCGTTGGCTCTCAACAGGAAGCACCTGACTCCTACAGCTAATGTCAGATCTTTGGCTATCAACAGGAAGCACCTGACTCCTACAGCTAATGTCAGATCTTTGGCTATCAACAGGAAGCACCTGACTCCTACAGCTAATGTCAGATCTTTGGCTATCTCTTTGAGTTCCTCCCATCACAGCGTCAAAGAACAAACAAGTTTAACAATCAGTGTCCTTGAAAAGGAACAACTGTTAACAAATGTTAATCTGGAACATTCTGATCACACATTGTGTCAGTGCCTTAATTTGTAGAGGAAGAAGTTATCTTTCAAATGTCAAATGCCAATGGCCCATGACTGGCCTCCACAAATATTAAAACAGAAACTCTAAGCCTACTAGAAAATAGAATAGAACTGTTGAAGACACTGGAATAGGAAAAGACTTTATATGAACAAACCCTCAGTCTAGGGGAAGTAGAAAATGTAACCTACAACTGAAATCTCAGCTGATTAAAATTTTTCTGCACAATTAGAAAAAACACCAACAGAGTTAATAGAAATATGGGGGTAATATACCACCTGTTTTTCAGACAAAGGTCTAGTAAAGAGAATTTTTAAAGAACTTTAAAGAGTTGGACCACACCAAAATTAAAGACCCAGTCCAAAAATTGCCATCTTAAATGAACAGACATTTCTCAGACAGAGAAGTAGAAATAGTAAATGACCATATTAAAAATATTCAACATCACTGGTTATTAAAGAGACGCAACTGAAAAAAGTACTAAGATTCCACCTCACCGCGGAAAGAATGGCTGCTATCATGAAATGAACCAATAACAAAAGTTGCCAGGGCTGTTGGGAAAAAGGACCTCATCTCCACTCTTAGTGGTAGTGCACATGAATGCAATCACTTTGGAAATCATTGTGGAGATTCTTCAAAAGCTAGAATTAGAAGTTCTATTTGACCCAGCCATCCTCCTGCTGGGTATCATCCCAAAAGAATGAAAAGCATTATATCATAGGAATATATGCCCACCCATGTATATAGCCACAGAGTTTGTAATACCTAAATCTTGGACTGGATAAAGAAGATGCATTTTTTGCTCAATAAATTAGAGTACTACTCAGCCATAAAGAATGATAAAGTAGAGGCATTTATAGTTAAATGAATGCATATTGAGGTCATAATCTTAAGTGAAATAAGGAGGACACACATGTGTAAATACCACATTGCTTCTCAGGTATGAGAAACTGAAGTGCCAAGATGTATAATAGATAATATGAAATAGGAAGCAAAGGTTCAAGGGTTAAGGGGAAGTAGGAAGGTGGGGGAAAGGAAAGAAGGAAAAGAGAAAATGTGAGAACAGAAGGAAGAAAATGTAAACAAATCTTTTGTAAAAAGGGAAGTGTGGTGTATGGAGGGGAGGCAAGCAGAAAAGGAGGGAAAGCAGAACTAAGGTATATCATGATAGATAAATTTTCCCAAAGCTGAATGTGATCATAAAGTATACATAAAATGGACCAGTAAAATAAATTTCAAAAGGGAAAGAATAAATTTAATTGGAGTTACAGAAAAGCTAGATGATACTTCATATGGAGGTACTAATATGTTTACAGAAAGAGTTCACCATTCTCTTAAGTGAGGCATCCAAAACACCAAACAACTATACTGAAAAATGAATCTCACCAAGACATGCTTATTGAATTACCAGGGAACAAAGAAAAAGAACAAAACCAAAACTTTAAAACCAGAGTAAAACAAAAAAATACTACAGATAAAGGTAAAACGTTTACAAATACAGCAAGACTTCTCAACAAAAACCTTAAAGGCCAGAAGAGTTTGGAGTGAAGTATTTCAACCTCTGAGAGCAAATAATTTTCAACCCGGATTAACATATCCAACAAAGCTTTCCTTCAACATAGCAGTGAGGCCATTTCATGTAAAAGATTGGCTCAAGAGATACATGATTGTGCAACCACCACTCCAGAAAATATTCAAGAATATTTTAGATATAAGCATGAAACCAGTAAACCTAAAAACCAAGATGAAATGAAAACACCATGCAAGGTCAATAGATGAACAGCAGTCAAAAATGACTCAGTCTATTTCAACTCCCCCATGGTTCTTAGACAATTGTGGACCCCCAAACTCAGAGCACAGCCATCCCCTCAATGGACTGCTTCACACAAGCATCTTTTTCTCAACTTTGAATGTATAGAAGTTATGGTCCTGACCGTGGTGGCCTATGATGAGTTTGTGGCCCTCCACAACCCAATGAGTTACTCAGCCATCTTAAACCACCGTCTTTGTGAAGTCACAGACTTGATTTTTATTTTTCCTTATCTTTTTGAGCTGACATGTACAACTTTACTGTACTCAGACTTGCCTACTTCAAGGATTGTCAATCTCTTATGTACCCTGCCCTCCTCCTTAATCTTCTCCATTTGGACAACTTTCCCTGTACCATCGCGAAATTCTGATGGTGCCATATTCTTTTGTCAGCCAAACTTATGGTTTATTTTCTTATATTAAAGTTGTTTTATCATCTGAAAATCATCATCTGCTACCTAAAAGCCGTATCTTCTCTACTTTTGAGTGCTGAATGTCAGTCAGTTGCTTGCTTATTTTATGGAACAAGTGTGAAAGACTATATTGACTCAGGTTTATTAAATTTTACCAGAAACAGTGTGACAGCCACAGTGATGTGTACTTGGTTCACCCGTGTGTTGAATCCCTTCACAGCCTGAGGAACAAAGTAAATGTAAGTACTGTGGGGAGACTACAGCAGAACAGTAAATGTCACAACATCTAGCATTTTGGTTATGTTAGTATGATGATTTCATGGCTTAAAATTTCCAGTGTAATGCTGTGAGAATGGAGAATGAATTTCAAAGTTGAACATAAATTTTCAAATTGAAGAAAGAAAAGTTCTTGAAGGTATATGATACTGAGTGACTTACAACAATATTACAGTGTATACTGATTATGGTTAAGAATGTAATTTTGTTAGTGGGTTTCTCTTCCAAAATGAAGTAAAGACAAATAACCATGTAAAAAGTGCATATAAATGACAGAAGTGATTAGGAAATGATACTTTCTTTTCCTTTTTTCCCCATTAAGTTCGTTGGTACATTTAAAGAAAACAATACAAGATACTCTTATTTGAGTAGGTGAAGAATCCAAAATCTCTTGTGGATGTTAATATTTCTTTTGTCACCTTCTTCCATTTCATGGGAAGTCCTTAGAGACTGATAGAATGGACCAACATGACTAATTATGAGTTTTGTGCACTGAGACCCAAGGTCACAGCATAGGCAATAATTAGCCTCCAGCCCTTTAGTGATTCCAGACCTGTTTCCAGCTCCATTCCAGTGTCCGAGACTCTATTGTTCTCTGTATGATGAAGCTTCTACATGTCTTTGTATTAATTTCAATGCTGAGGACAGACTGAACCTTCCCTGTGCAGCAGACATAAGGGGCTCTGTGGACCTGATCTCTTTCACTATAACCCAGCAGAGAAACGGCATCTCCCAGTAAGTGCAAAGCGACCGCACTGTTATAAGAAGGATGCTTAAAGGTATTATTTCCTTATCCTGAGGAGCAGCATGATATTTTTGGTGAGCAGATGTGAGGGTACAAATGTGAAAAGTAGCAATTGTAAAGAATGGAAATTTTATGATTTTTGTTGTAGTGGGGAATTACAGAATTATTTTTCCAAGTTTGCTTTCCAGTCTCCCTGTTTCTCTTCCATTGATGCCTCACCCATAACAGCAGAAAACACTCCCTGCTGCAGTGTCTCCTAAGTGCTCTAGAAGGATTATAAGGGCAATGATCGGATATAGAGAAAGGCAGTAACCACACCGTCATGAACTGGATTTCAGTACTTCCTATCTTCCAGGTACAAATTCCCAGTGAAATTCCCAGTCACTGAGCCATTTCTTCTATGTGTCTTTTTTTATTTCTTGTTCTCCGTCTTCCTGGAGTTATATTTGCCTACATTATCGTTGCTGGTAAAAAATAGAAGAAGCTGTCACTTTCATAGAAGGTGCATTAGGTTGCTATGTAAAATAATGACTAGGTGGAGGTGGTTTGTCTGATTACAAACATAGGATGTTCTGTGAGGTTGTCTCTTAGCACAAGCAGACAATTGATTTTCTGTTACTTCAAGGGAGGTCCCACGCTCACTGTGCCCTTCATGTCAGGGTTTTCTAAAAGTTCACAGAGCAGACCAGTGATGGCTCCAGCCACATTCACCAAAGACAGATGTGGATGACAGGCAAAGATCTGAGATAATGCTTCCTTGAGGGAGCACAGATTTCTCCCCTGCCACCACTGCAAGGCATTTTTGAACTTTTCACATTCATCTCCATGCTTTGCTTGCCCTTATTTCCAAACAACTGCAATATGGAAAAGCCATGTCTTGATTTCATTTCTCTGACAGAGTTGCAAATGTGCCTCTAAAGCGCCTATGATTATCAAATCTAAACCTTTGCAAAAGTCTCTCAGTGTATTGGAAACTAAAATTTTTTTCAGTGTATCAGATAGGATCTATCGACTTATTTTTTAGTCTTTTCCGCTCATTATTTCCAGGATGTAGGGACGGTTTTAAATATCTCTGACAGAACTTTTTCAGTAGGGTTAATTTTTACTTGAAGCAACTGCACTGAGGATTATGCAGATAAGGAGTGCTGGATTTAGGGTTAATGTGTATAAAAATGGAGCCAATTAAAATTTAGCTATCATCGCTATCAACGAGAAGTGTAATTTTTACTATTTATCTCCTGTGTCCTGTAGTCACTCATTTTCTATTTCTGTTACATGTCACTTTGTTTGTTTTTGTGCATCTATATGCATACGTGTGGAGAGGAATGATGTACTTTTCTTTACAGCTGATTTTCCAGACCTATAGCTTGTTTTTCACAAAGGAGACATCAAAAATTAAAACCGGTGTTCAGCATTGAATGCACCCTTCCCTGAGTCACAAGCTCCATTCCTTTCACAAATGTAAAGACAAGACAACATATATTTTGTTTGTTGTCAGAGTGCATGGACACTGTAATATTCTAAATTTTGCCTCTATGGGTAATTTAAAAACAAAACACCACAGATATATTCATATTGTTTTAAAAGCACAAAGAGAAGCGAGCAGATGACTGCGTGCCTGAACCTTAGGAGGATTAAAAATCTTCATACCACTTCAGGCTCCATTTGAATGCAGTTTACTATACTTAAAAATCTTCCTATTTGGTTAATGGTGTACATCTTTATTTTAAAAACAAAAGCTGACTTATGGGAAGCAATGAATGCAGTCCTATAAGGAAAATTTATAGCCATGAACTTTCACATCAGGAAAACAAAGCAAGCTCAAATAAACAACCTAATACTGAATCTTAAATTTCTAGGAAAAGAAGATCGAATCAATTTGATTCTTATTTACACTTTTGTGTAATAGTAAAAACGACTAAAGGTGTAGGGGAAGTGGGAGTGGTAGGGGGAAAGCTGAGTAGGGTAAAGAAAAAATAAGAGAAAAGTTAAAAAATGGAAACAAAGTCTGTGTAAATAGGGAAAGGTGGACGAGTTGATGGGAGGGTAGGGGAACGGGGAAAAAATAAGAGTCAAAATATATCATGAAAAGGTACAAGATCCCAATGATAAATCTAACCACATTGTATACGTAAAATGTACCAAGAAAGAAAAAAAGGCAAAATGTAGAAAAAAGAAACACAAATCAAGCCTAAAGCTCTTACAAGGGAGGAAATTATAAAGGTCACAACAGAGATTAATGCAATAGAGACTAAAAAAATCTCACAATTGCTAAATAGTTAAGCTATAAGGCTCCCTAGTTGTCACACATGTGAATGAAAGCCATTTTCCTTCTTTTCCTCAAGCATTATGAGCACAGATAGGAAGAGAGATTCACATATATTCTGCCCTTGGTAACAGGTCAATGACACAGGACTAACATACTTACTTCTAAAGTGCTACTCCTTGGCCACAGGCTCCACATCTGAAGCAAAATTGAAATGCTATTGCTTGTGTGATGATGAAATTTCTTTGTGTCGTATCATAAACAGATCATTACTGAAAAGATGGCAGTAATATTTTGCAGGTTAATCTGATGAATAAGAGGATATAGGTAAAAATGAGTCTCCTATTTTGCAAGACATGAAATTTTACACACATTATTTCTTCAAAAGCAGAAAAATATCACTGCAATGCATTATACAACCATTTTAACAAGAGTAAATGGGAAAGAAGCAAAAGAATTTTGAAAATATTATCATTATAATTAATTTACAATGCAAATGAGTCATCCCTCTCCCTCCCTCACCTACCTCTGATAAGGATTGAAGAAGACCTAAAACCACTCATTGTGGATACTATCTACACTACTTGGGGGGCAGTAGATGTTCTACTACACACTAAGATGCATTTTAGATTTCTTTTCGGTAAATTTTTAAGGAAATTGCTTGTGGATTCATCAATCAGTCTTGAGCTGGAAATACTGACAAGAAAATTCATAGACATGAGACCAGGGGAAATGACAGCAAGTACTCAAATTTTTAGGTAATCGTTCAGAGATCTAAAGAATATTATTGATGGTGTAAATATTATTAAATACTTATGTTAATATCTGTAGATAGTATGCATAGGAAATTTTAAATGCCAGCAGATATTCTCAGACTGTGGTACTTAACTGGTGTTTAAGAAAATGACTCAAAATTTTGAAATATAAATATTCTAATTAATATATTAGGCTAAGCCTAAAGTATCTGGAGATATGACAATTGTCTCCAGATAAATATATTCCTAACATAGAATGAACAGTGATGCAAATTAAGGGATTTTCAAATATTTTCTTACACCACCGACATAAGGTAGATAATTATTATCCCCATTTTACACTCGAGGGGAAATACATTATTTGCATGTATGTTAAGATTTCACATAACTTGTCCTATTGATTATGAGTTTTAAAGTGTGCGTACACTGTTTCATATCCTATTTGTGATATTTTTCCCAATGAAAATCACAGAATGGCCTGAGGAAAATTTGGGTCCCATTTTCCATGGCATAGCTGAAAAATGAAAAATGCAACTCCTGTTTCAGGACAGACTGATGTGAAAATCTGCTCATTAGAATTCGGAAAGCTGGAACTCAACCAATTGGGAGTTTCTTTTATTTCCAAAGTGGTCAACTTGCTACCAGAGGGTTTATGATCAGAACAGCAGCAAAGCGTTTTATCAAGCTATGGTAGACTACAGAGTCAAGGAAGAGATGTCTCATATAGCACATAATTTACTGATATTGTATGACTATATACACCTGTATAAAATTTCAAAAGGCAAAAGCACTTCTTATCATTTATTATTTTGCTGTACAGCACACACCCTAGTCTACATCTGTGGTAATTATGTCCAAAGATTATATGCATGTATCTGAAGGAACAATATATGAATCTGAGTGCAAACAAAGACAAGGATGAAAGTTTCATATTGCATAATTTATACCTAAAAAAATGTATACATCATTTCTTCCCAAAGACTCAGTAAGGCCTTGCATTCTTACAAGAAGGAATTAGAAAAAACAAAAAACCTGAATAATCATTATTTTTTAACACAATGGCTCAAAGCAAACCGTTCTGATTGCAGAGAATTACTTTTAATTTTCAGATAATAAAATACTAGACTTTATAGTATTTGTAGACACCCTAATTAAGGAATATTGTAGCATTTTAAGAGTACAAAATATAAAATATTTGAATGCTTTTCAATTTTCTTCCAATGGGATCCTATTTTCTTAAAGAGGGATGGCTTAACTAACCATATACATTTTGGAAAAAAGTTTCCACATTTTACTGTGATCAAGGACTTCAGAACTCTATATCCTTGATCTGCTCACACCATGAAAGAGAGCATCAGTAAAGTAAAAGTGTACAGAGGAGGTGGCACACAAACCACCCAACACGGAGTCCTAGATGTGGTTTATCATGAAAGAGCATATCATGGAATGTTGCGGATCCCTGCTAGGAATTCTTTGTTTATGAATATTTGAACGCAGAATATGTGTAGAGCTTTGGTGATATTTTTGTTTCATTTTTTTCTATGAAATTTATTGAAACGTTCTCAAGCAACATGGAAAGACATAATCTCACACATGTCTTAGAGTTCCATCTCATGACCTTCTCAGAGGACCCAGACCTGCAGCCCGTCCTCTTCGGACTGTTCCTGTCCATGTACCTGGTTGCAGTGCTCGGGAACCTGCTCATCATCCTGGCCGTCAGCTCTGACTCCCACCTCCACACCCCCATGTACTTCTTCCTCTCCAACCTGTCCTTGGCTGACATCGGTTTCACTTCCTCTACAGTCCCGAGGATGATTGTGGGCATCTCAACTCAAAGCAGGGTCATCTCCTATGGGGCCTGCCTCACACAGATGTCGCTTTTTATCCTTTTTGCATGTACGGACAACATACTTCTGACAGTGATGGCCTATGACCGGTTTGTGGCCATCTGCCACCCCCTGCACTATGCAGTAATCATGAACCCTCGCCGCTGTAAATTATTACTTTTGCTGTCAGTCTTTGTTAGCCTTGTGGATTCCCAGGTACACAATTTAACTATCTTACAATTTACCTGTTTCAAAGAAGTGCAAGTTGCTAGTTTCTTTTGTGACCCTCCTCAAATCCTTGACCTTTCATGTTCTGGTTCCTTAATCAAAAACATAGTCACATATGTGGTTGGAATCCTCTTTGGTTTCTTTCCCATGTCAGGGATCATTTTCTCCTACTATAAAATTGTTTCTGCCCTTCTAAAAACCCCCTTATCTGGGGGGAGGTACAAAGCCTTTTCTACCTGTGGTTCTCACCTGTCAGTTGTTTGCTTATTTTATGGAACAGGCATTGGAACGTATCTTGGTTCAATTGCATCATATTCTCCCAGAAAGGGCATGGTGGCCTCACTGATGTACACTGTGGTCACCCCAATGCTGAATCCCTTCATCTACAGCCTGAGGAACAAGGACATCAGTAGCACCATGAAGAGGCTCCACCACTGGAAAATCTAATCCAAGGAACTTTGCCATCTATTTTGAGTGTGATTTACAAAATGTGTTAATAAAGAAAGTCCAAAACTTATCTGAAAATCCTAAATCTTTCATCCTTGGTTTTATTGTTCATTTTTTTCTGAAATTTGTTATCTTTAACTTCATATAATGTTTTATTACAGAGCCATGAGTGTTTGAGGGGTGGTATTTAGTGTGCTTCCTACAGGTGCAAATTTCAGTTGGGAAAATGAAAAATTTCTGGAAATGTCTAAGAGTGAATTTCAGACATTTCCAAGATTGGAATATGGGCCAATACGGTATCAGCTGTGTGCACTGACATTTAAAAGTTCTGTGACATGGCATAAGCAGTCAATTCTTTTCATGTTTGCTTGACATCTGGAGATGTCTGTATTTCCCCCTTCATGTTCATCTGAATCAGGAAGCCCATATTTGACACCATCCAAATCAATTCTCTATGCTTTCCTTGAGCTCTTTCTGGTCCTCAGGGAGGTGAGGAGTGTGGGATAAGCTTGAACATTCCATAGTAGACACACAGACTAACTCGGAAAGTAATGGATGGAGGAAAGACCGTTGGAAACATTGCTTCTCAGCATGAAGACATTTGGACAGTGCGATGGGTGATGGTTGTGCGCAGTTTCAGCTCAGAGGACTGTGAAACATTTGTATTTGATTATTACAGGGCACCCAAAATCTCAGCTGAAGTTTTCCTTTCCTTGCACAAGTCTTGTTTCTCATAGACATCCAACCCATGATAGGATACTGTGGCTGTGAGTAAACTATTTATTCAAAATCTCCAAAGAATGATGGTAGAGACAAGGAAGACAATCACAAGGATGAAAATAGCCATCATGTCATGAAGCAATGAATGAAGATTTCCTTTATAGCAGCATCTAAGTTATGCATTCAATATAATTCATTTAAATTTATTTTTATTGAGTTTATTGGTACTTTTTAAGTATACAGTACAGGTACATTCATCATTGCGGTCTTGTACCTTTACATGACCAATCTTGGTTCTCATTTTTCCCCATATCCCTGCCCTCCCTTCACCCCCTCCGCCCTCCCCTGCATGTGCACATTTCTGAATAAAAGTTCCTATATTGTCACTTTAAAAGGAAATAGGGAGAGTGCATTTCTGTATCATTAGTTACACGTTGTTGGGCAGAAACAAGTGAAAAAATATTTACACAAGGGTCTCATGATGCACACGGGGCATTTCACCAGGCAAATCCAGGCACATATTTCTTTGACACTACAAGCACCCATTTTTCTTTCCCGTCCCTCCCATCTCTTACTGTACTCTCCCCTTAGGAGTTCCGAGTAGATCCGGGGTGACAACTGCTGCATCCACTTTAGAGAGGATATCTAGAAGTAAAGATCAAAGATTGAGAAGCTCTACGATGATTAGTTTTTCTTTCATGCCTGACCCCCACTCCATGCTTTCCTTGAAGTTCTCCATATCCTACTCCTCTTTTATGAATCATTCTTGTCAATGTCTACAAGAAAAATCATGTCAGGTTAGATTTCTCTCCAACTGTGAAAACGGAAAAGAGTTTAATTTTCATATATATGACTACAGTACAGATGCAATAACCTCTGCCGAAAACTTTTTTCCTCCAGGGAATGCAAGAGCAAAATCAAAATCAAATGAAAATGACAAATATTAATATTTAAACCCAGTAATACATTTTGAGGAAACCATGAAACCAGAAACCATGGAGGCATGATGTTTCTTCTTTAAGTCGATGTGTGGGGATATATATATATATAGAATGTAACAAAAGATGGGAACTTGGAACCGTATGGATTATTTATAATAAATGTTACAAGGTTAGAAGGAACGTTTAGGGAGTTGCAAGGAAAGTATGGAGAGAATTATTGAAGAGAAATAAATATACAAATTCACAAAAGCAAGGTTTTAGGCAATGGTGAGACCAAGGTATATTTAAAAGTCATAGTATTTGCACAATTTCTGTAACATCTGAGTTCAGTGGTCAATCAGAGAAGAGGCTGCTCTGCTGAGCAGTCTGCCCAGGGCCCCCTTCACATCCTTGTTCCTCAGGCTGTAGATGAAGGGGTTCAGCATGGGGGTCACCACCGTGTACAGCACAGAGGCGATCATGCTTGCCTGGGAAGAATGGGTCACAGCAGAGCTGAGATAGACCCCAAGTGCTGTTCCATAGAACAAGGACACCACGCACAGGTGAGACCCACAGGTGGAAAATGCTTTATACCTGCTTGCAGTGGAGGACATTCTCAGTAACGAAGAGATAATCTGAGAGTAAGAGTAGAGGATCCCGGTGACAGGCAGTACACCCAGCAGTGCAGTAGCCACATATATAAAGATGGTACTAATAAGGGTACCGGAGTTGGCTGCCTTGATAACCTGAGCCAGGTCACAAAAGAAATGGGCAATCTTGGAGACTGTGGAGAAAACGAGATGCTTCATCAGTAGAATGTGGATCAGGCAAACCCAGGACGTGATGATCCAACAGAGCAGAACTAAAATGCCACAGAACCGAGGGTTCATGATGACTGTGTATTTCAGTGGGTAGCAGATGGCCAAAAACCGGTCATAGGCCATCACAGTCAAAAGCAAATTGTCCATTCCAGCAAAGGTGTTTAAAAAGTATACCTGAGTGAGGCATTCTATATAGGAGATGCCTTTTCTCTGTGCCTGGATGTTCATCAGCATCTTTGGGATCGTGGTGGAGACAAAACAGATGTCAGCCAAGGACAGGTTGGAGAGGAAGAAGTACATGGGGGTGTGGAGGTGGGAGTCAGAGCTGACGGCCAGGATGATGAGCAGGTTCCCAAGCACAGCGACCAGGTACATGGACAGGAACAGTCCAAAAAGAAGGGGTTGCAGTTCTGGATCTTCTGAAAGGCCCAGGAGGAGGAATTCTAAGAAATATGTATAGTTTGCTTCAGCCATGTGGCTGGTACATATGCTGGGAAGGAAGAAAATGCAATCTTTACGGAAAGCCACCTGCCACCTCAAACACTTGTCACTTTACAGTAGGATTTATGGATAGATGTTCTTCATTGTCTTGTAGACCCAGCCAGTGACCGTGACTCAATCAGCCAAGTATTTCATTTTTATTTTAAATATTTTATATTAAAAGTTACATATTTTCAAATGTGTATATCTTCAATATAATATATACATATATATATATACACACACACACACGCACGCACGCACACAATTATTCAGAACTAGTAATGTTAGACAAAATCACTCCACCTGCATTCTTGTATGAATCTATGAACATTGGCATATTTTTTTTTGAGAACCTTCCAAAACATTTAAAGACATTTCATGACATTTTCATGATCTTAATTTTTTATTTATTCTGGAAGCTCTATAATAGTGATTAAATAGACATTTTTAAGACAGGCTACCTTTAGTCTTTGTGGTGGCACTTCATAATTTTGTGAAAGTTAACACTCCTCATTTTTAAAAAATGTTTTATTATTACTGTTACCATATTTTTGAGCATTGAAATGCCTTGTCTACAGTAGAATCTCAATAAGTATTTTTGTTGTCATTAATATGAGGAAGATTAAACTTTCCATTTATGATAATTGTTTGGATACCTAAATTTCCCGAGGTGCTGTACAAAGCTGTGATTTACAGATTGGATTCTTGAGTCAAATTTTCTTTAATACACTGTTATTTCATCAATATACCACACATCTCTCTGATCTTCAGAAAATAATTTCAACTCTGAACATGTGATTCCCTTCTACATTATGGGTCCTGGATACTCACCATGAGGTCGGGTTGGAGGATGGAATTAATTGGCCTGTGTATGACTGTTCTCCTTGGGTAGAGTTGCAAGTGTTTCATACTCGTGAGTTTCTGTTCTGAACATCACAATAAAGCTGTCCTGCATGGGTATCGGTTATCAATATGCCACTTAGCTGGGGAAGCTACTGAGGATGAAATTTAACATAAATACAACAGGTGTGTTACCTCTCGTAAATGCCATGGAGCACTTTTAACATATGAAAGAGACTTTCCAGAAAATTTGATTTCCAAGGAATAGTAATTTCCAGCTTATTGGAGAAAGATTTTGAATTGCAGGAAAAAAATGAAAAGAGTGCAAACATCAAAATGTGATTCAGTAGAAAATAAAGTACCTAGCAAATACAGAAAATTCACCTTCATGGACTACATAAACTTTGGGCCGTTTTAGAGTTATTATTCACAGTAAGGGACACTAGCCACTTCCTCCTTTGCTCTTAGTCCACCCGCCTCCTTGGGCAGCACTGAGTCCTTCCACCTGCTGCACTTGCAGATATCCTGTCTCCAGGATCTCCCTAAAAAAACCATTGTGATTTTGCAGAGCTGGGACCACACTTCTAGGTGAGGGGCAACAAGGCATGTTTAAAATTCCTAGCATCTCAATTGCTGAATTCTCAAGAGTTCCTCATTAAATAAATTGCTCCATTTTCTTCCTGCTCTCCAAATAATCAGCTCCCCTAGGGTGCAGGGAAGATAACAGAGTAAAAACTTCTAAGTCAATTTCACATCTATGCAGGGAGCAATAAATGAAAATGGTATTATTCCCTCCAGAAGGAGACACTGTTTTTTTCTTTTGATTTAAATGTCACAAGCTATTCCCAAAGGAATGTAATTTCTACGAAGCACCAAACCTAACAATAACTCTGTGTAGAGCCTCCCTTAAAGAATCTTTGAAAGTTTGCAGATCACTTGCTGTCCACAATGTTAGTTTCTTAAATATGTGTCAAGGTAGATAGTGAAGTACTTGTCATTTAATCTCCGTAGTTGTAATATTAGAAACAGGGATATGTGGTATATACATGGGATATGTATATACACCAGCAATGCTATGAAATATATTCTGTTGTTCTTTGTTTTCGAATTTTTATTGAGTTTTATTTCTTTAATTTTTTTAAGGGATGGAGGATAACTAAGGAGGACAAAGATTTTCTGTGAGGTGACAGAAACATTCTAAGATTGCCATGAGAGCTCTACACGGGTATGAATATCCTGCAAACTACTGAATTGTGTACTTGCAATGGATGAATTGCCTCACAAGAGAAGCATATGCCAATAAAACTGTTTGAGGAAAACTAAATTCAAATACATCAGAAAATTTATTTTCTCGTGTTTCAAGTAGTAGGAGTAGTATGCAAAATAATGCATCACTATTTTTTTAAATTTATATAGAGGTGATTTCATTTCTCCTAATAAAATGAAAATATTTGGAAGTGATTATAGGGGTTTGGGGTGTGTGTGTGTGTGTGTGTGTGTGTGTGTGTATCTGTATGGCTGTGTTTTGTAAAGGATCCATCCAAGGACATCACGAATGTTAGATAAGTGCTCTGCCACTGAGCTGTACTCTAACCCTGGGTGGCACTTCTTGATTCTGGTTAGGAAAGCACCTGTACACTTCAATACTGCCTACTTACAGTGTGTTAGCACCAGGGAATTCATCAATCCTTCAAGTCCATACACAGAGGCTTATGGAACATGCTTATGGCAAGGCAAACATCAATATAAATTTTATTTTATGGAGTGGGAGTACACCTCAGTGGTACAGTTTGCCTAGCATGTACAAGACCTTGCATTCCATCCCAAATACCATAACAATTAATTAATTTTAAGATTGTTTTCTTTCTCACATTGAATCTTACAGAATGTAAGATATTTTATTGAAAATAGGTGATCAGTAAGATGAGGTGAAATTTGTCATAAACTCTACTGCTTTCATTAAATAAATAAGTTTTATTCACTATGTGTGTGTATATACGCAACGGCAGATCCGGCCATTCAACAAATTATTTTTGCAGAAATTTTGTTCAGCTCTGTGGATCTAAATAGGGAACAGAGGAGGTATTTCATTTCTGCATAAATATTCCTCATATTTCATTCAACCAATTTTTATTAAAATAATAGAGACGATGGTTAGACATAAAATTTGAATGTAGGCTGCAGGTGAACATTATTGCTACCATTGTATAGCATGCATCTAATGCTCAGTGCCATTCCCAGTATTCTAGTAACAGTAATAGGAGACAGTAGATGATGAGAGATGAGAGGGAGGGAGGGAGGGAGGGAGGGAGAGATGAAAGGTGAGGGGGCTATTACAGAAAAGGAAGGGAATAAGAGGGGATAGAAATCCGACCGGGAATGTTATACACATGTACAAAGCAGCCGAAATTAAACCCATTAATGTGTACAGCTAACGTGCATGATTAACAGTAAGAGTAAACTAGAGAAATCCATTCACTCATTTCTTCCTCTCTGCAGAAAATCATTCTAGTCCTCCGCATTTACTAAGACACTGAAAGAGAGAGCTCAGAGTCATTCGAGTATCTTATGCTAGAATCCAGACATCTTTCATTTTTCAGCTACAGCCTCAAACAACAAAGATTTGGCGTCAAAAAGTACTAGGACAAACTCATTTTATAAAATTGTTCTTGAAGAATGATTTTCCTTTAGAATGAGTGATATGGCTTGAGTAGAATTTGTGTCTCTTGAAGGTCTCTCCAATTGAAAGCTTGGTCTGTAGGGAGGTGATACTGAGAAGTGCTAGGGAGTTATGGAGAGATGGGCTTGTGCTTGGATCATTGGGTTCCTAACATCAGAAGGGATGTGGGTCTCAGGATCCTTTTCTCTCTCCCCTTTCTTCTCCTCTCCTCTCCTCTCTGCTCCTCCACTGTCTCTGTCTCTGTATCTCTTTCTGTCTCTCTCCTTAGTGATATACTTCTTTACGTACACATACCTCTAAAAAATGTTGACACAGAGAGATGGGCTTGTGCTTGGATCATTGGGTTCCTAACATCAGAAGGGATGTGGGTCTCAGGATCCTTTTCTCTCTACCCTTTCTTCTCCTCTCCTCTCCTCTCTGCTCCTCCACTGTCTCTGTCTCTGTATCTCTTTCTGTCTCTCTCCTTAGTGATATACTTCTTTACGTACACATACCTCTAAAAAATGTTGACACATTCATGCTCTATCCTATCACCATTTATATTATATTGAATATATTTATATCATATATAATAAATATATTTCTATGATACATATTTTCCCCAAATAAAATAATTTTTATGCATCTCAAATATATACAAATACAGAAGTAAATAGGGTTCCTACTTTATGAATGACAGAGTCTCAAAAGAAGTTTCATGTAGCATTCATCTCCATTGCCACTGTGCCTTCTGCCATGTGAAGACCCAGCATTCTTTCCTGCCAGAGGACATACCCTCTAGCATATACACCTGCCAGGGCCTTCTTCTTGCAATTTGCAGCCTCCAGAGCTAAGAGAAGTTAATTTCTGTTCCTATAAACTATTCAGTCTCATGCATTTTGTATAACAGCATAAAACAAATTAGGACACTATCTGGGAATGTTGCTCAGTGGTAGACATGACACATGACATGAAATTTGCAGCCTCCAGAGCTAAGAGAAGTTAATTTCTGTTCCTATAAACTATTCAGTCTCATGCATTTTGTATAACAGCATAAAACAAATTAGGACACTATCTGGGAATGTTGCTCAGTGGTAGACATGACATGTGTTTATGTGTTTATATGAACATGTGTATGTGGTGGATTAATTAATGGACAGTTTGCATGGGAACACCCCACTGAACTGTGTCAGTGTGCTCTGGGGGTGGTGAACACCCAACTGAGGAATGTCACCAATGGCATCAATGGACA